TATCATTCTGGTGATAAGATCATGATAATAATGATGCTGATTTGAGTGGGTTGTGACGTGATTATAATAAAATGTGAAGTTCAAATAAATTTCAGTTTCAATCAGTTGGATTTGCCTGCGTACGATTCGTACGAGAAGTTAAGGGATATGTTACTGTTGGCAGTTCGCGAGTGCAGTGAAGGTTTCGGTTTTGCTTGAACAACAACTGAGCAGGTGTCGATTTATCAATATTGATTTCGAAGAGCGATGTTGCCTTGAGATTCTCTGTGATTTCTCTGATTTCAGTTCGAATTTATTAGCTTCTTGCGTCATGCTTTACGTCGTCTATCCATATCGTGTATCTTTTCTGATCTTTTTACTATAAATATTACGAGAATTAATTGAAGTTTGGTTTGTTCCTCTTCATCATCTTCTTCAGAGGCATATTGCTCAAGCGATATCGTTACGATTACTTTTGTTATTACTGTTGTTATTGTTATTACTATTATTATGATTGTTTTGAATGTTATCCGTTTCATCTGTTATATAGATGATATTTTGTGTGATTCGGTGCCGTGTCATTAATGAGATGTATCAAATTGTTTGCTTTCGACTTCAGCTGATGAGATTGGGATGATAATAGTAATAGCAATAATAATAGTAATAATAGTAACAATGGCAATATTAATGAGGAGATTAGTGTTAGTGACCCACCCGTACGAAATTGAACCATCCCATTATTGATAATTAAAATTGATCTTCAATCGCAATTATATTATATTATATGTTCAAGTATCTGAATTTTATCGTTAGTTTTTGTTTTTGCTAAGTGATATAATATTATATTGATAATGGTTTTAATCGTTCACAGAGATGTTGTTTTGTGTTACATTTTCAATAATTATTCATTCATAAATATTTTGTGTTTTGAAATGAAATTCGATTTTCATTTGAGTTTAATTTGAAGCACTTTTTAGTTGTTTGAAACGGTTGATTGATGATCAATAAAGTGTTCGTTTATTTTTGTTTTATGCGGATGACGATGATTAATATGTCATGTTTTGATCGTGGGCGATGAACGGATGTCATTTCGCAATGACGTTTATCGTTGCCGTTTACTTGACTCTTAAACTTTNTTCATTTTATTATTCATTTTTACATTTGTCATTCATTTTTCTGCTATTGAATGCGTATTAAATGAACGCTTTCATCCGGTGAATATTCCATGGAAATACTGGAAGGATTCTAATGAAAATGACTTTTCATCAGATATTCTGTCAGTTAGTATTTCAGTGGACGGTTTTGCTTGTCGCTTTTTGCTCTCAATGGGTTGCGGACAATGGTCTAAACGTTGACTGAATAATGCCTCCGAATGAACCAGTCCAGTGGGGTAGTGATTTTTACGCTCTCATTAAATAGGATATAGGAACGGTAGATTGGCATATGAACTCTTAAAGACTGTCATTCGAAAAAGTACAAATCAGTTCGGAATGATATTTTTAGAAATTATTTTGAGCATGTCAAAGTTTGAATCGTGAGCGATAGCAAAAGAGTCAATTGTTTAATATCAGTCAATCATTTTGGACATATTATTTACCGAATGTCGAGGAAACATTTAGGAAATCGTCAGTATTAATATTTCTAACTCGTCAATCTGATACCCGTGTCGTTCTGATATACGCCCATGAAAATCGCTAAACTGTGAAATAAACTGATTTTTATTGAGGTTATAAGGATAGCAATAAGTAATGCAAAATCAATCGTCTCTGGCTCAATGAGAACGAGTGACTGTCGGCTCGGCTATCTGTATGTTATCTCGGGGAATCGTTCACAAACGGTGAAGAAGTGGCTGATAAGAGGTTGAAAGTAGCGGTCTCGAGAGGAAATCTCGGTGCGAGTACGTCGATTACATGTGATGCGAGAGTGACTAATATGTGGAGAATAGCGGAGTGTAGAGAAACAGTTGGGTGGCGAGTGAGGAGATTTGTATGCGGATTGGATGGATGGATGGATGGATGGATATGTGTATGTATGAGTGAGTGGATGAATTAATTCATTGAAGTAGTAAACAACGAGTTGTGTCAATAGAAATTGCTTAGAAATGTGAAGTTGATCGATAATTGCAGAATTAAGAATCAGATCCAAATGAATCACCAATCTCATCTCAGTTACACCCTCA